CCCCAAAACCCCAAAACCCCAAAACCCCTAAATGCTGAATTATTTAAAATCTTGAAAATTAATAAACAAAATTAATTTTAATGTCATCTATTATTCCTAACAGGTAAAGTTGAGCACAATTTAAATATTTTTTAGGAAGCCAGACACTCCTGTTTAGCCACTAATAACAGTGGGAAATTACAAGTCAACAATCGAAATCGATAGATTCAAGAGACCTTAAGCTATTCCAGTATAATAAAAATTTAAATAACCTGATATTAGGGACCATCATCTTCAATCTTTGAGAGAAATAAATAAGGAAACTAAGAAATCAATATTAAGCCAATAACATAAATTAAGCCTTCACTTGAGTTCTACAACCCTAGGGGCCATTTAAAACTATCATTTCTTGAATCAGATAATAAGGATGTTGCTTTGAATAGCTTGCATTCAACAAAAGTTTATAATAGGAAAATTGCTGCCTTAAATCTTTAAAAAAGCAGCTTAGTTGAACCAGCAAATGAGCTAGATAAAAATTCTTTCATAGATAAAAGAAACCATAGTAATATCCTTTAAAACTACATGTCAGCAACAGTTGCTTCAACTCAGAGAACTCCTCTGTTAGCTGAAAATCACAATTACATATCGTAAAATGAGAATTAGTACTATAAAAGTGAGAAAACATTTTTCAAACCTAACTCGAGCTAGCATAAATATCCTTACAGCACTCCAGATTTTTTGAGAGTAGATGAAAAAGGTAAATTACATCCATAATATGAATTATAATAGTCCTCGATCATAGTAAAACAGGAATGACATACAAACCTGGAGAGACTGTAACTGTTGTAAGTAGAAGCAATGGTTGGCTGACTGTTGATCCAAATACAATGAGCAGGAAAAACGCCTTTGAAAAACAACTAAAGGGTAATCTTCACAAAACATCACATATGAGTCCATAGTGGATGCAGACTGAGGCAAAGCGAGATGAGGCTTAATTTCAATCTTATAAACCCTAAACAGTCAAAAGACAAAATATTAGATGTGAAAGCAGTCGTCTCTTCTTGTCTGAGAAATATGATATGCCAAAGAGTGTCTTCAACATCGGGTAAATTAGGCACAACTTACTTACTAAAGAGGAAGCTCAAAAGTAACTGTAAATATTTAGAAACACCTCTACTGAACCAGTCAGGTTCCTGGAATGGAAAGAAAACTAACCAAGACAGACATTCGATGCAGCTAGAGTTACTGGAAAGATAGGATAACAATGAATTTTAAGTTAATATACTTATATTACTTCACTTATAATTGCAGCTAAATATTTACTTTCATTAACGATAATAGTGATGTGGATTCTATACATTATTCAATCCTTGCAACTTTCTTTTATCTTTGATAAAGCCATCAACAAAGGAGATAAAATCTTTACTCTCCAAGTTAACATGATTAAGTTTCATGCTTTGAGCCTTTCTTACAGATTGTAAAGCTACTAAGTTAACTATGTTTTCAATCTCAGCTCCACTGCAGCCATCTGCTATTTGAGATGCTAGATTTAAATCATTTTCAGACAGCGAGTGTTGTTTCTGAAATATTGGTCATAAAATAATAATATTACATTTCTAAGATGTATCTTAAATATCTCAGTTCTCTCCTCTTGTGTAGGTAGCTTTATCTCAATTTTCTAATCGAATCTGCCAGGTCTCTGAAGAGCGGGATCTAATGTCTATGCCAAATTAGTAGCAGCAACTACCAAAATTCTGTCATTTTCTTCAAAGCCGTCCATTTAATTAAGTAACTCGTTAAGAGTAGTCTCCATTTCTCTGTGGCCTCCTCCGATTATGTAGTTATTATTTCCTCTAGAAAATCCCACTGCATCAATTTCATCTATGAATATCATGCAAGGTGCTGCAGCTCTTGCTTATGTGAAAATGTCTCTTATTCTCTTTGCTCCTAAACCAACAAACACCTCAACAAATTCTGATCCACTGCAATAAATAACTGGGATACCTGCTTCTGTTGCTGCTGCCTTAGCAATCAAAGTTTTACCTGTGCCTGGTGGTCCATACAATAAGACTCCTTTGGGCATTCTAACACCAGCACTCTTGTAAAGCTCAGGCTTTTAAATACAGTCAATAATTTCTTTTATAGCATTTTTTGCCTGAATACATCCACCTACATCTTCAAAGCTTCTATCCTTTTACTATTGACCAATGTCTTTCTTCTATTTGCCTTTGAATCCATGCATGTCTTTCCTAATAAACTATAAGCAAACTAATTACTTACAAGTTCATAACAAGTTTGTAGACAAAAATGGAGTACAAGCCAATCAATAATAGGTAGCCAATTTGAGATTCGTTCATTGCTGGGCTTGAGTATTTTGTGGAACTTACTTGCAATACTTCACTCAATTTTCTCTCACCAATCAACTATCTATTTGAAATGCAGTATTAAGCAGCTGTAGTAGGGGATTTGAAATAGCAGATCAAAAATAAACTGCCTACAACGACCTAGAAGAGCATTAAAGATAATTAATGAGAGTTATACTTTTGAAAATTTGTTTTGCTGAATCATTTCAAGAGCGTCACTTATTGGTATTGAATTGTCATATAAGCCTTTTGCTTTGTAAAATAATAAACCAACTGCTATTGCTGAGGCAAATCTCAGGAATCCTTTTGATTTGAAAAATTCAACCACTTTAGCCCAGTATTTTCTAAAAGAACTCATTCCTTCACCTTCATTGCTCTTTTTTAGCTAATTCTAGATGTCATTGTCTTAATTGGAGTGTGAATTGCTCATGATTAGATAATTAATATATTACTAATTTAATTAGAGGTTTATAATTAAACTTATAATCAATCACAAAACTACTTATTACTCAGATTTTTTTAATTTTAATACTTTTGCTCTTCGTTCTGACATTAATATCACTTGGTTAAACGACTTTTTTAGTTGACTTGACTTTCGAATCCTGCTTGGTATTTTCATCATTCTTGAACTATCTGTAAGTTTTGCTAACACTTTTGGTGCTAACTCTGTGATGTTATGCTTCAGCAGCAGTCTTGTCAGGACTATCAGATTTAAGTTTCTTAAGCTTTTCCTTTTGCGATTTTAATTTCTTCTTCAACTTTGCAATGTAAGTCTTTTACTGTTCAATCACTTCCTTTTGCTCTTTTCTCTTGACCTCTTTGACTTTGAACTCATCATGTAGTTCCTTGAACTGAATTTTCAAGTCTCTCCATTTGTTGTAGTAGTCTTCCCTGATCTCATATTTTCTACGGAGTTTTTCCATCTCTTATTTTAGTTAGGCATTTTACTTTCTTTGCTCTAGAAGATCACTCGGCAAAGAATCTTGACTTTGCTATGAACTTCTCCTATCCTAAGATCTCGAGGTGTGCTTATTTTCTGAGAATCTGACTTACCGCTTAACTCTATACTGATTATCTCTCTTTGAGAATTCTTAGGTGTTAGATCTCCTCAAAGAAGCACTTAGGCTCTTATTGTTTGCATGATTGCGAGAAGATGGCCGTTGTTTATGCTCTTTGTTTTTCTTGTAATTATTCATTTTCAACTTAATTCTTTACTTCATTTGCTCACTAACTGAGATTGTACTATCATTCAAAGGATTGTGCTCCTACTCTTCTAAATGAATCGGCTCTTCATTCTATGAAGAGTTTACTTAGGGTGAGTAATTAGATAGTTAATCGTGCTCTGTTTCCAGGTTAGGCTGTTAAGAAATTATTTAATGAGGCAATTCAGTTTGGTAATTTTGATGTGGTTACTTAATTTTCAAAGCTCTATTTGGTCTTTCTGCTGAATCGTTAGGATTGGATGCATTATCAATTCTTTAACTTGGCTATTTGTGAATTTATCTTTGCTTGCTAAATCTCTCATTTAGTTGAACTCTCTGATTTTCTATATCTTGATGCTGTTGCTAGTATTATCTCTTCAATCTAAGTGGAAAAGTTTAATAAGACAAAGTATCACTATCTGATGTCTGTGAATGATCATCTTACTGCTAATTTTGGAATATTTAAGGCTGGTGAGAGTCCTATTCTTAATGCATATTTTTAAGCAAAAGCTGCTGATTTGATTAGTTCTCTTTATCCACATTGAGATGCTTCTTAATACTATAAAGAGATTCATTAGTAGTTTATCTTTCTTAATTCCTGCAGTTACTCGAAATATATTTCTGATTGGAAGAAGATTGATTTGAGTTATGATGCTATTTCTGGTTTTGATGCTGATTATTGTGATACCTCTTTATCCTGCTCTCATCTTCATCAGTATTTTAGTGCTATTACTACTATTATTTCTAAAACTGATGATTATGAATATCGTTTCTCTCCTTGAATATCTCTTGCCTGTAGCTACTGTTTGTGTTATTAATATTTTTAGTTGAGCCCTGGGTATTTTTGCTGCCAAGTTTGGTTTCTAGACCCTTAATCTTATTCTGCAGTGAAGCAATGTCCTAATGAATTTTAGAAAAAGACTCTTCTTGAACCTTCAATATTTCCATGTTAGCTGAAGACCCCATTGAGCTCATCATCTCTGGGGATAACTGCAGATGCTTTGCCCTATTGTTTTAGGCATTTGCATTGTTCTTATTTGAGCTTTGGGGAATCGAATAATTTTATCTATTAGAGAGATTAGAATCATCATTTTTCAATTCTTCTAAAAACATCCTTAGACTAGATGATTCATTTTTAGGGGGAATTCCATTTTGCTACGCTCTTGGTGGATGGAGTCTTTCTTGTCTCGGATGCAGTATTCTCTTATATTCCCTAGAATTGCTTCTGCTATCTTATTCTCGATTCAATTAATTAAGAATTGAAAAACTCCTATCACTGCTTTGATGATTGCTTTGCCCACTTTTATTAGTATCACTACCACATATAAATAAGCAAATTAAATTACGACGACTTTTTGAGTTCTGAGATGCCCTCATCCAAGATGTAATGCATCTGCCTTTCCTATTCAAGAGAGAGATCTTCTTTTTTGTTGAAATTCTAGTTATTGTTGCTTTTGTATTTCCTAAATTTACGAGAAGAGGAGGAGCTGCTCATAATTTAAATTAAACTGAAGTGTTTATAATTTAAATCTAATAATTTAATTAGAACTCTTAAGAAAATATACTCATCAACCAATATGGACATTCTTGACATTCATCAATCACTCAAGTATCTCTAACATAATGGAGTTGGACTCAACATTGAGGAAAGGTAAGCTTTCGATATCCTATGACAATACATTATGTCTTCTAGAATCTAACTGGACCTTGGACTACAGCAGTTATTAACACATTAATATCCTAAACTCTTTGAGGAGCTCTTGTATTGGGGAAAGATAATCGGCATTAATGCTGACTACCACATCGCAGTAGGAATCGACTATAGCAATCACTACGAGTTTCCTCACAAAAAATTCTACTATGCTCTCTCTACTAACTTCGTAAGAATTCCACAAGCCTTTTAATAAATGAAAATTAGCAATTCAAGCCATTCCCAGCATTGAATGACCAGCATAAAGATGAATATAATAAAATCAAAACTTTAATTCTTGGTGTTCCAGATAAAGTACACAAGATTGTTGAACCAGTCAAATAAGAAGGTGAAGAGTAACAAGAAGAAAACCAACAATAAGTCAAGGAAGTTGATCCATTGGCATCTTCTGAATCAGAAGACGAAGCTGCTAAAATTGTACCAGTTAACCTAAAGGAAATTGACAGAGTGCACTATCTTGTCAGAGCAATCGAAAATGACTGTCACATAATCCCATAAGGTTCTTTTAAGTTGACAAATGCTCATGAAGTCAATAGAAATGAAGCTTTTAGAGGTCTCAATCTTGAAGAGGCTTTCAGAATGAATTCGTATTAACACTTTAGAAATGTTTAACAAAAAGACAAAAAGGAGGGCTTAGAGAAGGATGACGCTATCTTCATTAAAAATTTCCTTGATGATATAACTGCCGACAAGCCAACTGGACAATGGTCAGTGCAAAAAGACTCATCAGGCAGAGTAGCAATCTTAAGAAATTTACAATGGCCAGGATTTTTTGCCTATCACAAAGCCAATAGCAAGATATATGGTTCAGTCTACATTGGAGAAGGGCTTAAAAACGCTGATTTACCATTCATGCTATGATTTTAATGATTATTTAAGTTAATAGATTGCTTGTTAAATTTAACTCTTCTTATTTTAAATTAGATACTTATGTTCAAATTAGATCTGATTAAATTACGATAATAAATAAAGACGGCAAATCATTCCACCAGCATAAGTCTTACAGAGATCAGAAATGTTAGGGACCAAGCTAAGATTAGAATGAAAAATACCGATCTGAGTAATATAGTCAAAATATGATCGGTTCTCCTCCCGAGAAGTGAGCTAGTAATATTCGAGATAATCTAATGATAAAGTTATAAAATACAAATTTAGCTTTACATAAAAGAAGAAAATAACTCCATAAGCAAGTGTCATAAGCCAAGGATCATCTTTCAATTTACTTATGCCTGATGTGTTAGGGTCTTTAAGCGAATAATAGTTATTATTAGTACACGGACAAAGCATTAATGCATGAAATAAATAGATCGTAAGAGTTTGAGCAAACAGAAACGGTGTTTTTCTCCAGAATTCTAATGGATAGCTTGTTAGTATTGCAAATATAAAATAGCCTCCAATCAAAACTGGGATAAACAGATTCATATTAAGCTTCGATAAATCAAAGTTCTCAAATTTAATTTGCCTGATAAATATCTAACTTGATGAGATAGATTAACTATAACAAACTTTGCTATCACACTATTCTTAGCATCCAACATATTTCTCGGTGTAGTTCAATAGTTCAGAAAATCCGATGATCAACAGGATCTATTAAGGTCATGAAATTAAGATTTAGTTTATTACTGGAATAATTGCAATCAATGTATCTGATGGATAGCAAGAGCCTAAATGTGACTATAATAGTTGTAAGACTAATTATAATTTACTCTAGCAAAACTTATTAGCACATAAATCAGAATAGTGTACCCAATTAACTCTCCTATATTGAATTCATAGGCAAATCCGCTCCTCATCATTGCATAAGCCATAGTTGTAGCAGTCATCACTACTCTGGATGGAGTGCTACTAGACCTCTAAGCAGTTAAAGAAAAAGCTCTAGCAGGCTAGTATAAATAAGGTCTTTTTCTGTAGAAAAATCTCTTGAAAAATTATCCAACTAGACAATTAAACATCATAAAGTGATTTAAAAATCTCTAAGTAAATATTAGAAGCAATAATTTCAACATACAGCTTCTTTATCATAAGAATGAATTGAAAGCAAATAAATAATAAAAACCCACAATTCAACTGCACTTGCATCTAATTACAAATTAATCAAGCTACAATAATTACAAGACATTAAAATCGATATCGGTCCAATTATAAAGCCTGGTAATTTCCTGTTTGGATGGGCTCTTAGGATATGAAAAAACTAGGTGAATTCTATTAACTTATTATCAAGACTCCAAAAGAATGACTCAAATTCATGAGGTAGTTCATAGGTAACTATTAGTTTTCAATTTATAGGAAAATATACATCTCAATTTTCTTGGCTAGTTCTTAGGTACTCCTACTTGTCTTCGCTTGAGTTTGAAAAATGAATAAGGGTATTCAGTGAAATAAAATCCGCAAGAATCTTAGCAAGATATCTTTTAGGATTCAGAAGTGACTTTATCCTCCCTATAATCTGATTAATGAATGAATACGACATCAAATTCTTACATTTTAGATATTATTACAATTATAGTTCATAAATTTCAATTGAATAGTCTCATTGGGGTTTTGGGGTTTTGGGG